TCAAGGCTCTTTCAGGGTTAGGACAATGAGACCCATCATTGTTACTAGTATTTGGCATATTAGGTACGTCACGGGGAGTTTGCCAGACTCTACCATGTGGGCAGGTTACATTCAGTAGCCTGCCAGGTTGTCCAAAGTAAGAATGAGATAATAAGATGTTCCGCTTCCAGGAGCTGGGTTTTATAGTCTCTGGGTCTTGGCCGTTGATGGGATTACACGGCGCCAGGGGGCCAGTTGGTGGGTGTGAGCCCTGCCTACTGGAAGATGGAGGATCTGGGTGGAGGATGCTCAGCCCCGATCCGAGCAGGCTTGGAGATCTCAGTCCCAGGACCCGCATGCCTTTGTTCCTTTGCCGGTACCTTCATGCGTGTGGAGAGTGGTCTCAGCATGGTTGTGCCTGGTTCTGGAGGTCTTCAGCTGCCGGAGTTCTGGTCGGGGCGGGGAGGGAAACTCAACCCGCCCCCCCTCCAAGGGGCCCTGGCGAGGACAGCCAGGTGCGGAGAGGACAGACAGGCAGGAGACTGCGCTGTCTCACCAAGACAAGAACTCATAAATCACCCTGGGCAAACTGATATGATAACTGAAACTGGCAAGCCAATGGATGCTGAAATCACTGGATTGTGGGGGACATGGTCCTAAAGTAGCCATGCGCCCCCCAGATCAGTTATAATTCACCAAGAGGAAGGGAAAACTTTCTGTTAGACTTGATTGATCCACCTACATTGAGTTACTCACCCTGGAATGACGCACGCAGAGTGGCACCAGCTTACATTAACCACTTCTCAAGTGACCAAAGATGGCCAGAGCTTTCTTGCCTCAAATATTTGCCATGAATCTAACCTGAAGACTTGATTGTGTGCTTCCTTCACTACCTCAGCAGGGTGTGGGCAGAGGAGAGGGCACAAAGGAGGCCTCCCACTGGCATCTGGGACGAGGGCAGCCCTGCCAAGGCCCAGGACTCCCAGGGAAGTTGTGTGAGCAGGAGATTCGGGTCGGCTTAACTTAAAATTGGTATTTGCGGGCCTCAGGGTTACTGCTCTTATTCCCAGCATGTTCTAGCTTCCTCATGAAAGATTTCTTAGGCAGGCAGGGTGCTTATTCAAGGGAGCCTTGTAGGTGCAAGGCCCTGGTTTTCATTCCCAGCCCCAGCTGGGATCCTGAGCACTGCCAGGTGTGATCTTTACCATCAGTTTTAAGAGTGTCTTAGGGGGCCTGGAGCAATAGCACAGCGAGTAGGGCATTTGCCTTGCATGCGGCAGACCTGGGTTCAATTCCCAGCATCCCTTATGATTCCTGGAGCACCACCAAGAGTGATCCCTGAGTGCAGAGCCAGGAGTAACCCCTGAGCATAGCCGGGTGTGACCCAAAAAGAAAAAAAAAAGAGTATCTTAGAAACCACCAAAAGTGAGCAGGGAGATGTTCTGGCTCCAGGTCTGAGCCTGCATGGCCCTGCTCTTTTAAACAAGCAGTCTCATGACAGATGAGAACTTTTTGATTAGTGGCGTCTGAACCACTCCCACTCCACTCCTTTGCTTGAATAGCCTGTAACATGCAGGTTAGAGTCAGGCCTTCTACGTGTGCTCTTCAGTTCAAGCCCTGGGAATAGTCATTAGAATCCAGTGATTGTCAGTAAGGGAGGAAACTTTAACTACACAGTCGATTGTAGATTCACCCCACTGGTCCGTCTGTCCATCCATGCATCTATCTAAGCCATCTATTTATCCATCACACTCAATCCATCTGTCACATAACTAACCAGTCAACCATCTATCAATCTGTTCATCCCCATCCGTCACACAACCAACCAACCAACCAACCAATTTACAGTCTAGGCATCCATTCACTCATCATTACATAAATAATCAACTAACAATTTCGCCATCTTTTCATCTACATAACCCTCCAGGCATCTAGTCATTCATCCATCTGAATATCCAAGAGAAATATGTAAATAATCGTATAAGCAGTGATGTACTGGTACAAGTTCAGTCATTGCCAATCTGGAGTCAGGGGTAAAGCTATGGTGTATGTTTGTGGTGTAAGTATTTCCATCACAGTTGAATTCAAGATACTTTCATGGCCAATACAGGGCCATGAAAATATGCAAAGTAGCCTCCTGTTATAGACTATTTCTACCATATAGCTACAGATAACTTCACAACCATAGGAAATTATAAAGTATAACAGTTAAAAATTATTCATTGAATATTATTTGTTAAGATAACTTAAAGTTTTCTCTAACAACTGTTACATTTTGTAAGCAGAATGCAAAATCCCTGAAGTATCAGGATTATATTCTAAAACGTTTGGACCAGTTGACAATCCTACCAGTATGTGGGTCCCCTTCTCCCCACATCTACACCAACGCTGGATGTTTTTGTGACGTGTGCCAGTGTCACCAGTGTTGAAAGGACATCTCACAGACTGTTTTTCTAAAGTCTGTATTTGCTTGACCTGGAGAGACTATCCATGTTCCGGCCACTTTCAGTTTTGAATGGAAGAGGATTTGGGGAATTTGTGTTTGGCTGACACCCTGAGAGTGGGGACAACAAGTTTGTGCCTTCCATGAAGTATTCTGCACTGAATGAGGACCAGCAGGTAGTGTCCCAGTTGCTCAAGGTGTGGGAGAGGGCAGGGTGCCCTAATGGAGAAATGCCTGGTTTCCAGGGCAGGGTGAGGGTGGGGCAAGGGATACTCCCCGGGGAAGGACTCAGGAAACCACAGAGCTTGCCCATCCCCGGGAGTACCCACCCTGTCCTCATAGGTGACATTTGAGTGAGAGGGAAGGAATAGGATATAGGGCCCTGAAAACATTTTCCTAGCGGTTATCATACTTAATTTTCAGTGTCCCAGGAGACAGGACAAGGAGGACTTAGGAGCAACTGGTCTACTAAGAAGCTCAGGGAGGTGCCACCTTGCACCTGTGAGTTAACCTCTGCTTCCCAAGTTCTGATGAATCTCTGGGCTTTCTACAAGGCTCCCTTGAGGGAACTGATGATGTGTTAAAAACTGCAGTCACGTGTCCTTGCTTTCCCAGGATCCACCTGATAGTGAGGACAGAACACAGATTGCATGACAGGTGTCTCTAATGTCTGTCTCATCTGTCTCCCATGCCAATCTGCACTGCCAGGCTCCATGTGAAGCCAACCTTAGCCTACCAGGCTGAAAGTGGCCAGGAAGTCTTAGAAGGAGCAGAGGTCTGGCCTGCAACAAAACGAGGTTCTGGATGCAAGCTGCACTTACTCCCTTAATCCACACACTCTTGGGGTGTCGAGTGTTGGGGGGACCCTCTGAATCATATCATGCTTTGACTTGCTGAGATGTTAAGGGGGGGGTGCAGTAGTTTAGGTTTTCTGGATGGGGACATGGAGGTTCACATCTGTTGGTGTGCAGGAGCTATTCCTGGTGTGGTGCTTGGGGATTGCTCCCAGTGGTACTCAGGGTCCATGTGGTATGTGAACTCAGGGCTTCACACAGCCAAGGTGAATTTTCTACCACTGAACTCCATCCTGGCTAGGATGCTGTCATTTTTGTTGTTGTTGTTTGTTTAATTTAGGCACATATACAAGAGACATGTCTTCAAAAACTGTTGGGAGTCTGTTTGACTTAGCCGCACAGGACATGGCAAAAAACCCTGTAAGCTTTTCGTAGGCGACATCATTAAGCCCACACAAAGATGACAGTCTCAGAAATGAAAGCAGAGCCTGGAGATGCTATTGTTACATCGCTTTTATTTAGAGAACTAGGGCAGCCAGAGAGAAAGTAAAAAACTCAGAGCCTCCCAGTATGTTTTCTTCACCAAAGCCAGGGGTGAATTTAGCTGTAGGTGGCTAGACAGTACCTGTGACGGGTGGAAGGTGGGCAGCTCCAACTCTAACATTGCTCGTCTTTGTTATGAAGGCAATGAACAATCACTAGTTGCCTCTGGTGAAGTAAACATGAGCAAAGAGAAAAGGCACCTGAATTCTCGTCCCCAGACTGGCCCACGCAAGCAGTCTCAGGCAGCAGAGTGGAAGTTTCAGTGCAGATGTCCTCAGGAGGCCCACCAAGCCCTGCACAATGGCTGTCTGCAGCACTGGCTGTAACGGCATCCCCGTCAGGATCCTGCCCTTACCGCCTGGCCAGAGAGCTCCTTCATGATGGTGAAGCATAGGCGCTCTGCTGGCTTCCTGGGAAGGGTTCACCATGCAGTTGCATGGTCATGGTCACTGGTGACCCAGCAGGGGAAGCATCTGAATAGATGTCCTCAAAATGAGAAAAGACAAAGTCATGCTATTTGCTGCTACGTGGATAGATCTGGAAAGTATCATGCTGAGTGAAGTTAGGAGGCAGACAGAGAATGATCGCTCTCATATGTGGCATGTAACAAAGCATAGTTGGGGACCAACAGAGGCCCAAAGGCAACAGAAACTGAGAACTGCTCTTCAGTAGCAAGCTTATGGAGGGTGGGGGGATAGGATGGGCAGGGAGCAAAGGGACAAGGAAGGGAAGTGGACACTCTGGTGGAGGGTGTGATGCTGGGATGTTTTATGCATGAAACCATACCATTAACAGTATTGTGAACAATGGTTCCCAAATAAAAGCATTTTTTAATGTCTGTGAAGAAATTTTGTTTGGCTTTTGCCCATTTTGGTCAACCAGTTTCTAATTCTGTCCTTACAATTACAAAATAAACTTATGACTAGAGAATCTTCAATTATTGACATTAATGCCATTATGTATACATGTAAATGCATATGTATGTATGTATATATACATACATCCACGATGTGTGTATATGTATATACACACAAATATATAAAATGGAAAAATATCATTATGTTATGTTCCTAAAATTCTCTAGCATGTTACCCACTATTTTTACCCACTGAAATCCTTATTGCTTAAATGCATTTGTATTGAAATACACAGCTTTTTAAAGGAACTGAATGAATAAAGCAGAATAGCATTTTTAATATATCCACATACACACGTAAAAAAATAATTAAAAAAAAACAGAATGACCCTATACATCTTTTATTTGCATTTTTACCTCATAACACATTGAAGCATTTCCCAAAGCATTAAATATTTTTCAAAAATATGGTTTTTAATGGCTAAAGTATTCCCTTCTATGTATGCAACATCCATTATTTATCTATTTCCCATTTAAAACTGCTTTCAACTCTTTTCTATTAAAAAATGCTGATAAACAATGACTCTGTTCACAGTCTTCAATTTTTTACTTGGAATAAATTTGAGAATATGAGTTACCTTCATGAGGTTTTCATGAATATGATTGATAGTCTATATAATTGCTGAGAGACAGTGCTTGGCACAGAGCATTCAATAATTGGTAGCTCAAAACAGGAAATCAAGCACCTAAGCGAAAAGGCCAGTTGTATGGGGGCCAGGGGCTGAGTGTGGACAGCAGTGGACCCCAGCCCACTGGGCCGATGGTATGGAATAGGCCACAGGGCGGAGGGCGAGAGGAGAGGGGTGCTTTTTGCTCTCAGGGGTGGGTGGGCCTGCAATGCACAGAATGAAACAGATCCTCACTTGGAATCGGGACTCCTGGCTGTCCCTCAGTGACCTTCTCGCACACGCCCTTGGCACTGCACGCCCCCCTGTTCACCGTTGTGGAGGGACTGTACTCCTCTCCAGAGCCAGAGGCCTTCCCCGTGGCAGGGCACTGTGCTCAGAGAACATCCTAGATCATGTTCTCTAAATGATTCATTAGCTATTCTCGTTGGTGGCAAACATAATTTTTAAAAGGGAAATAAGCTGAGAACCTTGCAACATGGCTTCCTGGAGGGGCTCCCTGGGCTACACAGGATGGACCCCGGCAGCTTCCTGTCTGCAGGTGACTCACAGCACACCTGCCTATGGAACGAGGGGTGGGGGCTGGAGACTCCCAAGCAGTTCTCTGGGGGACTGGGGGGCTACTCCCAGCAATACTCAGCCAGCCATGCCCATTGCTGTGCTAGGCCTCGAGAATTCAGCCCTGCTGGGGCCATGCTGCACCCAAGACCAGCAGGGCTACCCTGGCAATGCTCAGGGGGCCCCAGGCCAGGCCCAGCGAGGCTCAAGAGGCTTGGAGGCATTGGAGATAGAACCCAGGGCTGAGTGAAGGCAGGGCATGTGCTCTAACCCCCCGTACTATCTTCCTAGCACCCACCCCCTTTGCCCCACCACCACCACCACCACACACACAGCACAATTCTTTAAAAGAATGAAGAAATGACACCCTAATTTCTCCATGATGCAACAACAGGCTGGTTTTACAAAGAGATGAAAAAGTTGATGAGCTGAGCGAAGCACCCCTTCCCCGTTACATGGGGGGCTGCGGGGGGTGGGGGGGACCATGCCAGTGCCTGTCTGCTAACTCTGTGCTCTAGAATGGAAGATTTGATTAGTTGGTGTCCGGACACAGCCTGGTCAATGCAGAGCTGGCCTGGAGGAAGTCGGGGTAATGAGGGTCTGGAATGTTGTGGGCAGAGAACACTGAGGGCGCCCACAGTGAGACCTCTCTAGAGAGACACTCTCTCCCCTCCTCTACCAGCAGGAGCTTTCCGGGACAAGCACGTGCCTCCCTTCCCCGCGGGTTGGAGGCTCAGGCTCAGCCCCTGGCTCTCTCGTCCAGAGCTTTTCAGGATCTTCAGTGGCCCCGTTATTTCCAATGGAAGGCTTCCCACTGGAAACCAATTTCTATTTGGTCCCCAAAAGGCAGAGTCTTAAAGAGATTTTCATTCTTTGGGAACTGTAAGCAAGGGGTGGGCTTCCTGTCTTTTCTTCTTTGCCAGTGCTTGCTCCCAGGCACCCGGAGACTTCCCGTCTCCCTGTCTGTCTGTCTGTCATGTTGCCCATAAGGGCAGTGCGACTGGCCACCACCAAAACTAAGAAAGCAGAACCCCAGGGTTGGAAAGTTGTAGCACCCAGACGCTCCCCACAGTGGCTCTTTCGGGGTTCACTGTGGGGCCGGTTTTAGAGGTACGCATCTCTTCCCCCACCCACCCACCCCAGGTTCAGGGGCCAGGCACGGCCCTAGGCCTCGGGGATGGGGGTGTTGCAGTTCCCGTGGTAGATCTTGACATGGCCCTCGCACCGGAAGTAGGCGTCGAAGACATCGCTGTAGCCGTGGTCCCTCCACCAGGTGCACAGCTGCCGGTTCCAGGTGCAGTCGAGCACGTGGAAGAGCTCCGGGTGCTCCATGCCGATCATGGTGAAGAAGTCCTGGTCCCCGAGGTGGCCGCGGAAGTGGTACTTGTCGGCCAGTCGCTGCACCTGCCCGGGCTCCAGCAGGTGGCTGTAGAGCGAGGACTGGCGCATGGCCTCCAGGTTCAGCAGCATCACCCCGCTGTTGAAGCCAGGGAGCCCGTCGGGCGGAGGGCCCCCGACCTGGGTCTTGGGGTTCTCCTGGCGGAACTGCCAGAACGTGTGCCTGGGAGGAGGGAGAGAGCACAGGTCAGCTTGGAGCAGCATGCATCTGCAAGGGAGTCTGGGTCTTCGCCACCGCCAGGAGGGGAGGAGGGGACGTTTCACTCGTTTTACAGGCCAAGATGAAGACAGTGTGTCTCCTACCAGCGGCAAGTGGCAGGCAGACCTTGAGCTTGACCCAAGTTCATGTTCTTCCCACCATTCTCTGCCACGGCAACTCATCACTGTCCTCTCTCACCACACCGCACAGCGCCCATGCTGACAGAGGAAGTGGAGACATCCGGGTGATATTGTCAGCAGGAAACTGATTGGTCTTTAGGGAGGCGATCTGATTGGCTGGTCTGTGTAACAACTCAAATTGATTGGTTTTCACACACTTGTTAATTTCGATCGCAACCAATCGGAAACAGGGGCGGGTATTGGTGAGGTATATAAGCACAGGTCATGGGCTGCTGAAATTAGTGGTCCTAGTAAAGAAAAAAAGCTACCCTAGAGCTGCTGGGTGGGGGGGGTTCTAAATAGGGCGCTGTTGACCTTTTGCAAGCTGTACCCCTAAGAATGCAGAAGCTGGAAGCACGACTTCTCCAGGTTCTTCCCTCACCATCCTATTCACTCCTCATGACCCCTGCAATCGGGGTGCTTTCTGAGATAATACAAGACATCCCCACCGAGGAAACTGAGGCATAGAGTGGGTGTCACACAGCTAGTGATCAGCAGATGCAACCACCAGAATTCTGGTCTCAGAGTTCATATCATTCCATGTGTGTTTAGGGGCCACTCCTGACCTGGGCTGGGGGCCACTGGGGCCTTTCTTGTGAGGCAAGTGCTCTCCAACTGAGCCACATCTTAAGATTTCAACAATCGATGCCTAAAACTATTTCTTTTTAAATTTGACAACAAAGGAGGAAATGGGTTGGAATTTCACAGCTGTGAATAATTCCGTAGCACCTGGTATACAGTGAAATCTTAACTTGAAGATTCTGTCTCTTGCTAGTTGGGAATAGGAAAAAGACCCTTTTGAAATAGACCATTCTCTTCTCTTTTTAAAGTCTGTTTCTAGGGGCCAGAGTGATAGTACAGTGGGTAGGGCACTTGTGTTGCACATGGCCAACCCGGATTCAGTCCCTGTCATTTGTATGGTCCTTCGAGCACTGCCAGGAATAATTCCTGGGTGCTGGCTGAACCAGGAATAACCCCAAAGCTTTGCTGGATGTGACTCAAAAACAAAAACAAAACCTGTTTTTATTTTTAAACAAGTTTTACTTTTAAAACAAGTGAGGTGGGAAAAAAATAAATAGTTAAGAAGGTGTTTGGGGCTGCAGAACTCTGGGTCTTTTGAATTAGTTCATATTTCTTTTTTATTTTATTTTGTGTGTGTGTGTGTCTGCTTTTTTGGGTCACACCCGGTGGCGATGCACAGGTGTTACTCCTGGCTCTGCACTCAGGAATCACCCCTGGTGGTGCTTGAGGGTCCATATAGGATGCTGGGAATCAAACCCGGGTCAGCTGCATGCAAGGCATATGCCCTACCCACTGTGCTATCTCTCCAGCCCCAAATTAGTTCATATTTCATAGTTAGAGGGTTGTTTTTTAAAGAACATGGTCATCTTTCCCAATTTTGTATTATTTGTATGTTGTTTATGTCAAAAATACCACATTTTATTAAAATGTTTTTTTAATTACAGGGAGGTGGGAGGGGGATATAAACAGTCTAGGCAGAGTTTTCACCCTGGTCTTTGTGATCCTGAAGGGGAAAGGAGAGAGCAAAGCAGGGCGATCGATGCTGAGGATGGCTGGGAAGGAGAGGCAGCCGCAGCGCACTGGCTGAAACAAACTCCTTTTCTGCTCTAAAATAAGCCTCGTTCATGAGGAGCCCCTCCACGCCCACTGCTGCCTTGGCTCATCCGGGAGAAGAGCAGAGGGGTCCTGATGTGGAAGTGTTCAGAAGGGACTCCATCTTTTACTTTGGGGGTGTGGTCCCAGGTGGTTCTTAGGAGCCCCACTAACAGTCAGTCCTCAACCAACCAGTCCAGTGGTTCAACAGAAGGACTGGAAGATTCAATGCGCTTGGGCCCTGCAGGGCATACCTGCAGCAGCGCTTAGAGGCCTCCAGGGATGCCCTGGGGAATGGCAGGGACTCTGTGGTGTCAGGATTTCCAAAAGCAAAAAAAAAGGAGGGTGGAATCTCACACACGCCTATGGGTTCCAGCCTCAGAGTGAAGAGTGTATAATGGGGGTATGGATGTGGCTGTCCCCTGTTCCCTAAGCACCTGGAAGCAAGAAGTCAAGACTCCAGAACGGAACCCTTGTAGCTGCAGAGACCTCTGGGAAACAGGAGGAAATGGGGGGCACAGGAAACGGAAACAGCTCATGAGGCCACTGGCTGCCCTGCCAAGCGGCCCAAGCCTGCGGGTTGTCACCCCCCAGGGTCCCTCTCTCTAGCAGCCCCCAACCCCTGTGGGGGCTCACAGAGAAATCCAGACCCCTCACACAACCCCCTTGGCCCCAAGCCCAAAGTGCAGGGCTCTGTGGAGAGACCATCAGGGACTGGGCCATGCAGGGTGCTGAGGACACTAGGTGAGCAGGGGAGCCCTGTCTGGGGAAGCCCGACCAGGGCCGTGCTGTCCAGGGCCGTGCTGTCCAGGGCCCGGCCAGCAGCAGCTGCAGCAGACATGGAAACCCTCCGGCTTCCTCTGAGGGGGGCACAGGGTCTTGGCCGGGACATAACCTTTTCTCCAAAGCAGTGTGAGCAGTGTGTGTGAGTGTGTGTGTGTGTGTGTGTGTGTGTGTGTGTGTGTGTATAAAACCTTTTCTCCAAAGCAGTGTGAGCAGTATGTGTGTGTGTGTGTATGCACGTGCGCACACGAGCACACACACACACACACACACACACACACACACACACACACACACACACACAATTCCAGCAATCAAAAGCCTCCTGCAGAGGAAAAGGCCCTGCTGGTCATCCAGAGTTCAACCCGGGGAGAAAACAAGGCCTTTTGTGGGTCCCTGCAGGACGGGTCGGAGGAACAGACTCCGGAGAGGGGGCGGAGACTTGGCTCTGGTGGCTGCGGATGGATACAGATGGGTTCCCCGGCTCTCAGCCCCACTGGCCCCAAAGGCGCCCTCAGCGCTGCAGCTGGGGCCCGGCTGGCAGCAAGGAGAGCAGGCTGCATGCAGAGACCGTGAGAAGCCTTGGGCTCCTTTGGGGTGGGCCCAGGGCTGGCCTCATGCCTGCAGGCCCTCAGTGCCCAGAAGGCGGGACAGGGCTTTGCCCTCCCTCCTGCCCCCAGCCCTCGCTTTCACCTCTGCCTCCCACCGCCCGCGTCACCTCTTTCTGATTTCTGCAGGCAGCCCAGGCATGAGACCGAACCAGCTGCTGTGTCTAAACGGCCCCTCTGAGCACCCAGGGCCTGGCCTCGAGCCTGCCCAAACAACCAGCTCCCCCCGGGACCGCCCACCACCCCCACGCAGCTGGCTTCCTCCTGGCCGGCCTGTTGTCCTCTCCTTTGAAAGGAAGGGGAGGGAGCAAATTCCCCCAAACTGTCTCCTCCCACACCCCAAAGGTGCCGGGCTGGACAGCATGTCCAGGGGGCGAACAACAGACACAACTCATCCCAGATGAGCGGGCACGCTAGCGCCCCCTCTGCGCCCCAGCCTCCAAGCATGCTGGGCAGGAGGGGTAGGGGGGGCTCAGAGGGGCGTGGCCAGCAGGCGTGAGTGAGTGTATGCACAGGAGAGACCGGCATGCTTATTCATTCAGAGATGCAGACCGAGCCCCACGGTGCATGGAGCGTCCACGTCCCCAGAGATCAACACTGTTTAAGACAAACTGGGGTGGGGTTGGTGATAGCACAGCTATTAGGGCATTTGCCTTGCATGTGGCCAACCCAGGTTTGATTCCCAGCATCCCATAAGGTCCCCCGAGCACCACTAGGAGTCAATCCTGAGTGCAGAGCCAGGAGTAACCCCTGAGCATCGCCGGGTGTGACCCAAAAAGAAAAAAGAAGGAACCCACAAAAGGCCTGCTCTGGGTTGGGCGGGCACAGACCAGCCAAAAGCCACAGTCTGTGCTGAGATGGGATGACCTCACATTCAGGAACTTGCATCCCCCCTAAGGACGGCTCCTTCAGTCTGGGTGGGGGGAGGGACCTGGAGGGAGACCAGGACCATTCTGGGAGGAAAGTCTGAGGAGGGGACACTTACCTGGAGGCTGAGTGTCTCCCAGGGACTAAAGGTGGATCACCAGAGGTGAGGTTGGGAGGGGGAAGGCAGGGCGAGGAGCAGACAGGCGGGGTGGGGAAGCAGCCATGGGGGGGTGGGGGAGGGAGACACAGGGAGAAGGAAATCGGGGATTTGGGAGCAACCTGCAGGTGCGTGCTGGGGAGGAGGGTGTGTGGTCAGGAGGGGGTGCGTGGTCAGGAGGAGGGCGCATGCTTGGGATGCTTGGGAGAAGGTTTCTGTCCTGAGTGCTGGGTACAGGACATGCGGCTGCAGCCACCCCCCCCCCCCACCTCGCACTGAGCTTGGTGCTGCTGGCCTGGTGCCCTGCTGGCCCTCTCCCACCTGGACCCCCGAGGAGATGGCGACCCAACAGGCCTTCTCCCTCTGCAGACCAGCCGCAGCTCAGTGGTTCTGGAGCAGGCCAAAGTGAGCGTTCCTGTGTGTGCACGCTCTTCCTGGCTCTTCCTGCCCACATTTCTCCAAACCCCCTACGGGGCTGGGGGACCTCAAGGAACCGAGACATGGACCAGCATGGCCTGAGGAAAGTCACATTCTCTTCCCAGATAACCGGGAGCAAACTTATCTGTTTCTGCTCCTTCCAGACACGCTCACAGCGGCCCCTTCTCTTGACCATTCCTGCACCATTGCACTAGTTCCCGGGGAAGATTGCATGCCCGCTGCGCCCCACCCCACCCACCGGAGTAGATCCCCCCTTAGCTGCCTCTGCTACAGTCTCTCCCACCCTCCCTCCACCAGGCTTGCTGGGGTCCTGCCATC